AAAAAAAAAAGATTATAAAGGAATGAGATTCAGTCCCCAGTACCATGAGAGAAAGAGGAGAGGGGGTAGAGGAGAGAGGGGAGAGGGGAGAGGGGAGAGGGGAGAAGGGAGGGAGTAAGGGGGAGAGAGACAGACAGAAAGACAGACAGAAACAAATTCAAGATGAGATCAAACCAAAGCAGTATGGCTCCAAACACCATGTTCCTAACCGTCTCCAAAACACTAAATCCAAAAAACTTTAGCATACACTTAACCAGTTCTTCAAAGCATTAGATGCCCCACATTTATCATTTTCAATCCTCCTCCCCAACATAAAATCTCAACTACAATCAGACAAGTCCCTTCACTGACTGCCATAAGGTCTATGCTCTTACATTTCTTTCTACCACTGTTTAGACTGGCTCACTCACCTGGAATGCTCTCTTCCACACATTTAAATCTTATCATTTCCCTAGTCCATCAATTCCACAAAAGCAGGACAGTATCCACTGTGTTCATTATCATACCCCCAAAGAACATGGTAGCTACTCAATAATTTTTTTTTTCTGGTACCGGGGATCAAACTCCGGACCTTGTGCTTGCGAGGCAGGCGCGGCACCACTGAGCTACATCCCTGCCCCTCAATAAATTATTCTTAATTGGATAAATGAAGCAACATCCCACCTTTTCCATAAAAAAAGCATGTCATATACTAGTCACTTTCTTTTTGAATTTTAAAAACTCTGGAATCCAAGATGACTGTAAACTACAGGAACTGCAAACATGCACAAATAAAATTTTAAAATTTTAATAAAATAAAAGAATAGTCTCCTTTAAAAAAAACCCTGGGAAAAATCCAAGTTAGATTCCCGGTACAAAAATTAAAATTAAAATTTAAAAAAACCTGGAATCAGTATCATAGCTTAATATTTAACTTCTCTATAATTATTTTGTAGTAGAATTATTTCTATGGTTAGACATCAGAGCATATGCATTATACTTCTTTGCCTATCTCCCAGGGCCTAGGTAAACATTGGATATATAATGAGCAAGAATAAATATTTACTAATTGGAGTACTGATGGGCTCCATTTAAAATGACATTTACACACAACATTGTGAGAATGCAGCTATTCTGCAGACTAGGATAGAAATGCATTTCTAACCCTTGCTGATTTTTTATATTTCAAAATGCATTTAGCAGAACTATGATTCAGCATTTAACAATTAGGGAAATAATCTGGAAAATCTTGATGGTCCAGAGTCTATGGCTTGATAATTATACAAGGAGATTGGTTTTTTTGGTAGAAAAGCAGAATGACTACATCTTCATAATATGATTTCCTAACTGTCATAATGAGTTGTGACATATCATTTAGCATATTGTAGGAGTACTATAGGCCACTGGGCCCTCCTAATCTGAGTTTTCCTTTTTTGTGGTATAATTTAGAAATTAAATATTGCTTATAGATATTGGTTAAATATTGCTCCTGTAGTCTACTAAATTTATAGTACAGTAGAACTATAATTTATATTATATAGGTTGCTAAAATTACTTTTACAGTAGATAATGTATTAAAATAATAATAGTAACGAAACTTTATTGTATATTTACTACCTGCCAGACACTGTTCTTACTTTATTGAATTTGTTCTTATCATTTTACTGAACTCATTGACAATCCTATGAGGTAAGTACTCTTACTGTCTACATTTTACAAATTTGAAGGGGATGTAGCTTGGTGACAAAGCACTTGCATAAGGTCTTTCGTTACCACCACGCACGCCCCCTCAATAAAAAGAAAGGTCTACGGCAAGCACAATGGCGTACACTTGTAATCTCAGCAGTGGGAGGCTAAAGCAGGAAGATCTCAAGTTCAAGCCCAGCCTGGGCAATCTAACAAGACACTGTCTCAAAATAAAATAAAAAGGCTAGGGCCGGAGATTTAGCTCAGTGGTTCCAGCACCTGCCTCAAAAGCACAAGGTCCCGAGTGCGATCCCCGGTACAAAAAAAAAAAAAGGGGGGGGGGGGGCTAGGAGGTAGCTCAGCGGTAGAGTACTTACCTAGCATGTGTGAAGCCTTGGGTTCAATCTCAGTACTGGAAAAAAAAAACAGAAAAAATAAATAAATAATCTTCCCAGTGTCATACAAGTAGTAAGCAAAGGAGCTAGTATCCCAGCCAAGGCAGTTTGGTACCAGGGTGCCCTATGTTACAACACCTCTCCCATACAACACAATAAAATCACAATACAGGCCGGGGATTTAGCTCAGTGGTTTTGCCGCCTGCTGCGCAAGCGCAAGGACCTGAGTTCGATCCCCGTTACCAAAAAAAAAAAAAAAAAAAAAATTACAATACAATGGTGAAATTAAAATGCCTTTTTTTTCTGGTACTGCTGACTAAACCCAGGACCTTTGCACTAAGTCACATCTCCACCCTTTTTTCTATTTTTTATTTTGAGACAGGGTCTTGCTAAATCACTAAATTGCCCAAGCTGGGCTTGAACTTGCGATCCTCTTGCCTCAGCCTCACAGAGTGGTGGGACTACAGGCCTGTGCTACCAGGCCCAGTATTAAGATGAGCTGAAGTAGCAAGGGAATAATATCAATAGTTCAGAAAACATAACCAGCAAAGTTCCAGTTTGTGCTTGCTTATTAATTTTCTACCCTACTTTCTTTTAGAACAGTTTAAATTCTAAACATGTTATTATAACTATCAATGTCTTTCCAAGTTCAAAGATGTGCTTACGTTAAAGATGTCAAAACACAAGTAGATCATTTCTTTTATTCTTTCTAGGAGACTGAAAAAAACAAGTAAAATAAGACCGGGCATATCTTTAAATAAGTTAGTTAAAAACAATAGGTCCTAAAAATAAGAACCAAGATGCATCATGTAAAGGTACAAGTCCCCAATGAGAAATGTAATTGTGTTGTATACCTAAAATGTACCAATAAAAGAATTTAAGAAAAAAAAATGTTTCATACGATATTGAAGTTATTCGATAAACTTGCAGAAGTTTATTAAAAAAAAAAAAACAATAGGTCCTTATTTATGAGATTAGTTTGAAAATTTCAAAGAAATTATGAGCTGTCATATATATGTATATGTCATATATGTCATATATACGTGTATGTCATATATGAGTATGTCATATATACATATATGTCATATATGTGTATATATATGTCATACATACACACACAGACACACACACACACATATGTGGAGGGGTTGGGTGGTTTTCGTTTTGTTTTGTTTTGGTTTGGTTTTTGCAGTCCTGGGATCAAACCTAGGGCCTTGTGCACGCTAAGAAGGCAATCTACCATTGAGAAATATCCTTATCGGGGCCAGGGATTTAGCTCAGTGGTTCCCCGTGCCTGCCTTGCAAGAGAAATATCCCTAGCTACAGCCAGGCATAGTGGTACACGCCTGTAATCCCAGCACTTGGGAAGATGAGGCAGGAGGACTGCTACAAGTTTGAGGCCAGCCTGGGCTACATACTGAGTTCAAGGCCAGCCTACATAGGGAGACCCTGTCTCACAAAAACAATCAAAAAAGGGCGGAGATTTAGCTCAGTGGCGCCCTGTCTGCCTGGCAAGCACAAGGTCCTGAGTTCAATCCCCAGTACCAAAGGAAAAAAAGAGAGAGAAAGACAGAAATATCCCTAGCTGACATCATAATGGGGGGGGGGGGCGCTTCTGAGACGAGATCTCACTATGTAGCCCAGGCCTCAAACTCACAGGAATCCTCCTACCTCAGCCTCCAGAGTGCTGGGATTATAGGTCTGCACCACCACACCCAGACAACGTCATAATTTTTTAATCATCAAATAAATGTGTTCATTCATATTTTCAAAGAAGATAAATGACTGCTTCCCATTTTAGGGCAAATAAGGTCCTTCATACCAAAAGACATAATTCTTAAAGTTTCTTCCAATATCTATGCTCTTTAAAAAAAAAAATACATGCTTTTCAAGTCTTGATTAAAATGTAATTCCTTAAAAAAAAAAAAGCTGTAAGTGTGACTTACAGAGTGTTTGCCTAGCATCCACAAGGCCCTCGGTTTAAATCCTCAGTACTAAAGCTAGTTGTAGTGTTGTAAACCTGTAATCCCAGGACTCTAGGAGGCTGAGGTAGGAAGATCTCAAATTCAAACCCAGCTTGGGCAATTTAGCAAGAGACTGTCTCAAAAATAAAACATAAACCAGGCATGGTAGAGGACGCCTGCAATCACAGAACTCGGGAGGCTGAGGCAGGAGGGTTGCTGTGAGTTCGAGGCCAGCCTGGACTACATAGTGAGTCCAAGGCCAGCCTGAACTACAGAACGAGACCCTGTCTTTAAAACCAAAGGAAAAAAAAAAAAAAACACACCCATCAGAATTTGTCAGTCTGGACAACACAGTGAGATCCTGTCAAAACAGCAATAAAAACTACAGTTGCCTGGGCCGGGGATTTAGCTCAGTGGTTCCACCGCCTGCCTCCCAAGCGCAAGGACCCGAGTTCAATCCCCGGTACCAAAAAAAAAAAAAAAAATAGTCAGACTCAAGATCCTATGACTTAGCATTTTCCCTAAAGTTAAGAAATAGGAACTTGTGGGCTATTTTTGTAGTAAACACAGTGAGCAAATTCAGGGAATTCTAATTATGCCCTGGCATTCAAAGTCAAATAATGTATTGTACTAAATAAAGTATTCTTCTATCCACTATCACTCAATGAATTGAAGGCTTTAAAACTCTGAGAAAAAAAAAATTTGCCAGCTACTCCTCAAAGGATTAACATCTAGAACACACAAAGAACTAAAAAAAAAAATTAAACCACCTAAAATTGAAGATGCAGTCAAGAAATGGGTAAGAAAAATGAACAGACACTTCACAGAGGAAGAAATACAAATGGTCAACAAATATACGAAAAAATGCTCACCACCTCTGGCCATTAGAGAAACACAAATTCAAACAATGCTAAGATTCCATCACTCTGGAAAGAATGGCAATCATTAGGAAGTCAAACAATAACAAATGCTGGCATGGCTGTGGTGAAAATGAAACCCTCCTACATTGTTGATGGGAATGCAAACTATTATAACCATTATGGAAATCAATATGAATATTTCTCAAAAAACTGAAATTAGAAATTCCATATGACCCAGCTATCCCCCTGCAAGATATCTTCCTCAAAGAGCTTAAGTCATCATACTACAGCCATGAATGCATACCGTCTTAGTTACTTTTCTTATTGCTAAGACAAGATACCCAACACCCACAAGTTAAAGGAGGAAAAGTTTATTTAGCTCACAGTTTATAGAGGTTTCAGTCCATAACCTGACTGGCATGGCAGACAGGTATCACAGAGGAGAAATAGTTCATGGCAGGAAGAAGGTAGCAAAGCAAGCATGAAAGAGATCTTAACAGCATCTTTCTGCCCCTTTTATATTGTATCTAGGCTAATGGTATTAGGCCAGTGCCAAACCAATCAGTTGACTGATTTAGTAATTATACACCCTTAATCCCAGCATCATATACTCTAGATCTAGCCACTTCTAAAAAAGCCCCACTGGGCCGGTGATTTAGCTCGGTGGTTCCGCCACCTGCCTCACAAGCCCAAGGACCTGAGTTCGATCCCCAGTACCAAAAAAAAAGCCCCACCTATGACTTCATGAAGTTTGGGGGGACATTTAGACACAAGCCATAACATTCTGCCCTGGCCTCCCAAAGACTCATGCACATCCCTTTATGAAAAAGGTATTTAGTCCATCTCCAAGAGTTGCCAAAGTCCTAACAGTTTCAGTATTACTGAAAAGTCCAAGTTCAAAGTCTCCTCTGAGATTTAAGACAAACTCTTAGCTGCAAGTCCCTGCACAAATGAAAAGAAAGTTAAACACTTTCAACATACAATGGCACAAGATAAACATTACCATTACCATTCTAAAAGGTACAAATAGGGGGATAAAAAGGAAGGGGACAAAAGCAAATCCAAAATCCAGCAGGGCAAACATTAAGTGCTGTAGTTCCATGTGCAGCATCCAAGGCAATTTGTGGCAAGATGTGAACTCCAAGGGGCTTGGGTGGCTCCACCACTATGGCACTGCTAGTGGTTGTAGCTCCCATGGATTCTCTCTTGGGCCAGCTCCGCTCCCACCTTGCAGTTTTCCTCAGGCAATCCACATTCCTGGAGTCCCCAAACTTTTGGGGTCTCCATTGCACCTTCAGCTTCACAGCCACAGCTCCATACACTGCCCTCTCAGGAGCACACTGCCTGGCCTCCCAGGCCCTCTGAAATCTGGGTGGAAGCCTTCCTGACCCCACAACTCTTGCATTCTTCATGCACATAAAACTAGCACCAGGTGGATGATGCCAAGGTCTGCTGCCAGCTGGAGCAGTAGCCAGACTTCCTTCTCTTGGCTGTAGGGGTTGAATGCCTAGATTGCTGAGCACTCTGAACCTAATTTAGAGGAACAACTTCACTGGCGGCCATTCTGGAACCTGGTGCTCTGGGGCTCCCTTCTCAAAGCAAATTCTTTCAACATTGCAACTCTGAGGCTACAAAGGCTAGAGTCCTGCAGGTTCATGTGATGTCCTCAGGCCATCTTTTCTGCTGCCTTCTGAAACACTTGGCTTTTTCTTGCTAGTCTTTTCAGTAACCAATTTCTCCTCTATTCCATCTCTGCAGGCTGCAGCTTTACTGAAGCTTCCATTCTGGCCAAAGTCACAACATTATGAATCATTCTGCTGGGTGCTTTGCTCTTGATTCTCAACATAAATCTGGCTAAAAGCCCCCCAACAGTAGCCATGCCACAGCCTCAACATTAGACTGCCTTGAAATTTCTTCTGCAAGATTAGTTAGTCTGCTGCCCTTAATCTCAGTCTCAAAGTCTCTGGACATGAGCAAAATGTAGACAAACTTTCTGCCAAGCTATAACACACATCGTCTGGAGTCCAATAGCCAATGCAGTCCTTCCCAGCAGAAACCTCCTGACCCAGGTTTTTACCAGCTTTCTGGTCTTCTGCACTCTGACTAGAATCTCCCATACAGAATAGCCTAAGGCATCCCAGCTCTACTTCTTCAGCCAGCATCTCTGAATCTTTCCTCCTTCTCTTCCCATAA